GGGGGGGGGGGAGTCAAGGGACCCCTCGGCCATGGGTCCCATGCATGAAACGTTAATCCAGCCCTGCTTATGTATATACAAGTAGTGGAATTTGAAAACAAAATTCAGGCAACTGCAAGCGTTTAGGGAAAGAAACAATTTTAACAACCACCAAAGCTATGCTTTATGCCTTTATCATTCCTAAGTCGGTTACAGACGAGCAAGTTTTCTATGACAAGTTTTCATATGACAAGTTGTATTTCCTCTTAGTCTGTATACGCAACTTTGCCAATTTTTTCTGTGACAATCACACTTGTTCAAAAGCTGGTATGTTAGCTTTTGAACAAGTGCACTTGTCAAAGAAAAAAATGTACAAAAAAAATACAAATTTTGTTCGTCTGTATGGGTCAAGAAAGAAAATTTGGCAAAGTAATCTGAGCACTTGCATGCGGTTGGTCAGCGATCTACCGTTGTAATTAGCTATAAAGGATTAAAGGGGCTTAAGGCTAGCTATCATGGCGGCCAGAAGAAAACCAAAAACTTAGCATAGAAAATTTATTGTACGTACACGCGTTCAATTGAAAAAGAAAACTAGCTATATGCCGAGCTACAGAGTCCAGTTTGCCCAGCCATTAACCACAAAACCCTAATTAAGCTGATATGTAATTACCACAATCATAGAAGCTGCTCCAGGTTGAGGGGGAGGTGGAACGCTCAAAACGACTTGGCAAATTGTTGCATGCATTCGGAAAAAAATTGAGCGCTTTGGATATGGCCCAAATTATCGAATTTAATCATCTGAATTAAAACCAAACGAGAATTTAAATAGAGAACTTAATATTTAAAAATTCAGGCGAATAGATATCTTATTGTAGACGTGAGACGTTGCATTTTCAGATTCTTCAGTGGTGGAGTAAAACTGCCAAGGGCCCTTTTTCCTTGCCCTCCCGATTACATCATTTTGAATTTGGCACCAACATGGCCGCCATGCCACTGTCTTCTAGGCAAGGCCAAGGGATTGATTGCAAGTCAAGAATTGAGATATTACTTTCCTAACTGTGTTTATCTTAACCCACACTGCCAACTTTCCTTGTGGGAGAAGAAAACCCAAAAACCCTCCTGGCTTCAGGGCAATAGGCCTTTTTTTTCCTCAGTGGTGGGGGAGAGGAAGGGGCCCAGTGGGGCATTTGCCCCACCCATCCTTGACTGATATCTTGAAAATGTGCTCTATCGAGTCGTAGCAGTAATTTAAAAATCCCAAACAACCCAACAGCCTATATAAGTGCAGACGAGTCAGTTTTTTATAGCGTCATGGCTAAAAAGGGAAACAGGGTGGTTAGGATCAGTTTCAATCAGGGATGCCGGAACAAAAAAAAGGCAAAGGGGGGCAAACGGACACCAAAGGGGCACCTCTATAGATCCCGGTGAAGATATAAACCTACAATAATGTGTTGACTTGCCAATGAAAGCAAACACACTTAATCAGGTCACATTCAAGATCACACCTCATGATTTTGCCCAAAAAGCATCACTGGAAATGTGATTTATCAGGTAGTATTTTACAACTCAAAGGGCACTTCTGCCCCCCTTGCCCCTCCTAGCAAAAGGCAAGCTGCCCCTCCTACCCCCCAGTTCTGGCATCCCTGGTTTCAATCGTTGAGGTAGTCATTTGAAATCTGCCATTTCAGACCTCTAGATTTCAAAATTCTGTGGAGAGCATGCCCCATGACCACCCTAGAACTCTGTCTAGTTAAAAAAACAATTGTGACAGTTTAATTAACCAAAGTTTAGTAAATGCATGCATGTATAGAGGCTAATTAACACAGACCAAGATATCAGGGCCATTTACACTGTATACGGGACAATATAAGTCGCAACTTACATAAGACGCGCACGTCTTATATATGCGGAGTTATCGTATAAAATATAAATGGTTCTCTACAGCTCTAGTCTTATTTACTTGCTATAGCTATGTTGTTTTGGTTGTTTTTGTTTTAATATGAAAGGCTAATAATTTTACATCATTTTATCCAAAATGTCTTACATGTAAGTCGTGACTTATTTTG